CTATTTGAAACTTATATTTCCATTAAAAGTACATTTATAACATATAAAAGGTTTTTTTATAACTTAACAACTTCAGAAAATTGTGGTAAGTGAAAAATATTACATTTTATATAAGGCCTCACTTCATTTGAAAATCTCTATTTTTGGCACAGGCTCATATAAAATTTACTTCTGGCCATTTTTTATAAGTCTGAAACATGAAGTATGCTATCTGTTGCTTTTAATGGGTGATAAATTATACATAGAGACATTAAAAAGTGTAAGTTTTGGTATATTTTGGTTTTTAGAAGCCCAAATTTGATAGTTGAAATTGTTCAAATCAACGCCACAATTCAGCGCCTAAAGTTCAGATATAAAAAAATGCCGCATTTTGTATAATTGGCATCATATGGCTTTAAAACTTTGTAAACTGTTTCATAATACACTAAGCTTAAATCATGCTAAGTTTTATTAGAATTGGTCAAGTTTTGAACCCCTAATAGGTGAATTCAGGAAATATTGAATTTGTACTTTGACAACTTCCCTGAATCATCTATTGGTATTAATTTGTCAAACTACATGAGAATAAATGATTTCCACTTTTATTTGATAGAAATTTTGTAAAAAAGTGCCATTTCAGCCTACATGCCCAAAATTGAACTTTTTCAGGTGTTTCAATATTTTTACAAAAGTAGCATGCTAACTTTCTCTCTGACAGGTTTTTCTGATTTTCTATTTGTGTTTCTGGTATCTAATGTAGATGTTTAACTCATTTTTGAACACTGAACATACAAAAAAAGTAGATAAAATCAGAATAAGAGTGCAAAATGTGCTGCTTTAATGATCTTAGTCTAACGGTCAATATGAAGCAAGTGAAAAATGAGGTTCTATGCACATACAAGTTGAATTCCTTTTAGCAGATTTCACTGAAACTGAATCAAAAGCACTTATTACTGGTTGTTTGACCTTGTCTGTTTCACAGACTACCTTTATTTTCTTTTGTTTGATAGCTAGAGGTTAACATATTGGCCTTTTGAGGCTGAAATTTCATGCCGGTTTTAAAAAGTACAGTAAATAACTTTGCATCAGATGATACTGTCTACATATACAGTTAAAAGTGACATTCTTGTTACATCCAGGCTCCATGTTTTATCATATCTAAGCAAAGATTTGAGCAAAAACAAGCATATCTCTATCTCCCATATCATTGATATGCTTTTTAATATGCAAATGTGGGGAACAACCTAAATTGACAACCTGTTTTTTTAAGCTTGACATTGCTGAAATACATTTTATTCACATGTGTTATGCTATTTGAAACTTATATTTCCATTAAAAGTACATTTATAACATATAAAAGGTTTTTTTATAACTTAACAACTTCAAAAAATTGTGGTAAGTGAAAAATATTACATTTTATATAAGGCCTCACTTCATTTGAAAACCTCTTTTTTTTGGCACAGGCTCATATAAAATTAACTTCTGGCCATTTTTTATAAGTCTGAAACATGAAGTATGCTATCTGTTGCTTTTAATAGGTGGTAACTTATACAAAGAGACATTAAAAAGTGTAAGTTTTGGTATATTTTGGTTTTTAGAAGCCCAAATTTGATAGTTTAAATTGTTCAAATCAACTCCACAATTCAGCACCCAAAGTTCAGATATAAAAAATGCCACATTTTGTATAATTGGCATCATATGGCTTTAAAACTTTGTAAACTGTTTCATAATACACTAAGCTTAAATCATGCCAAGTTTTATTAGAATTGGTCAAGTTTTGAACCCCTAATAGGTGAATTCAGGAAATATTGAATTTGTACTTCGACAACTTCCCTGAATGATCTATTGGTATTAATTTGTCAAACTACATGAGAATAAATGATTTCCACTTTTATTTGATAGAAATTTTGTAAAAAAGTGCCATTTCAGCCTACATGCCCAAAATTGAACTTTTTCAGGTGTTTCAATATTTTTACAAAAGTAGCATGCTTACTTTCTCTCTGACAGGTTTTTCTGATTTTCTATTTGTGTTTGTGGTATCTAATGTAGATGTTTAACTCATTTTTGAACACTGAACATACAAAAAAAGTAGATAAAATCAGAAAAAGAGTGCAAAATGTGCTGCTTTAATGATCTTAGTCTAACGGTCAGTATGAAGCAAGTGAAAAATGAGGTTCTATGCACATACAAGTTGAATTCCTTTTAGCAGATTTCACTGAAACTGAATCAAAAGCACTTATTACTGGTTGTTTGACCTTGTCTGTTTCACAGACTACCTTTATTTTCTTTTGTTTGATAGCTAGTGGTTAAAATATTGGCCTTTTGAGGCTGAATATTCATGCCGGTTTTAAAAAGTACAGTAAATAAGTTTGCATTAGATCATACTGTCTACATATACAGTTGAAAGTGACAGTCTTGTTACATCCAGGCTCCATGTTTTATCAAATCCAAGCAAAGATTTGAGCAAAAAGAAGCATATCTCAATCTCCCATATCATTTACATGCTTTTTAATATAAAATTTGGGGAACAACCTAAATTGACAACCTGTTTTTTTAAGCTTGACATTGCTGAAATACATTTTATTCACATGTGTTATGCTATTTGAAACTTATATTTCCATTAAAAGTACATTTATAACATATAAAAGGTTTTTTTATAACTTAACAACTTCAGAAAATTGTGGTAAGTGAAAAATATTACATTTTATATAAGGCCTCACATCATTTGAAAACCTCTATTTTTTGGCACAGGCTCATATAAAATTTACTTCTGGCCATTTTTTATAAGTCTGAAACATGAAGTATGCTATCTGTTGCTTTTAATAGGTGATAACTTATACATAGAGACATTAAAAAGTGTAAGTTTTGGTATATTTTGGTTTTTACAAACCCAAATTTGATAGTTGAAATTGTTCAAATCAACGCCACAATTCAGCACCCAAAGTTCAGATATAAAAAATGCCACATTTTGTATAATTGGTATCATATGGCTTTAAAACTTTGTAAACTGTTTCATAATACACCAGGAACATGTATGTTAGATATACTGTTCCCAGAATACACTAAGCTTAAATCATGCCAAGTTTTATTAGAATTGGTCAAGTTTTGAACCCCTAATAGGTGAATTCAGGAAATATTGAATTTGTACTTTGACAACTTCCCTGAATGATCTATTGGTATTAATTTGTCAAACTACATGAGAATAAATGATTTCCACTTTTATTTGATAGAAATTTTGTAAAAAAGTGACATTTCAGCCTACATGCCCAAAATTGAACTTTTTCAGGTGTTTCAATATTTTTACAAAAGTAGCATGCTTACTTTCTCTCTGACAGGTTTTTCTGATTTTCTATTTGTGTTTGTGGTATCTAATGTAGATGTTTAACTCATTTTTGAACACTGAACATACAAAAAAAGTAGATAAAATCAGAATAGGAGTGCAAAATGTGATGCTTTAATGATCTTAGTCTAACGGTCAGTATGAAGCAAGTGAAAAATGAGGTTCTATGCACATACAAGTTGAATTCCTTTTAGCAGATTTCACTGAAACTGAATCAAAAGCACTTATTACTGGTTGTTTGACCTTGTCTGTTTCACAGACTACCTTTATTTTCTTTTGTTTGATAGCTAGTGGTTAAAATATTGGCCTCTTGAGGCTGAAATTTCATGCCGGTTTTAAAAAGTACAGTAAATAACTTTGCATCAGATCATACTGTCTACATATACAGTTAAAAGAGACATTCTTGTTACATCCAGGCTCCATGTTTTATCATATCTAAGCAAAGATTTGAGCAAAAAGAAGCATATCTCTATCTCCCATATCATTTATATGCTTTTTAATATGCAAATGTGGGGAACAACCTAAATTGACAACCTGTTTTTTTAAGCTTGACATTGCTGAAATACATTTTATTCACATGTGTTATGCTATTTGAAACTTATATTTCCATTAAAAGTACATTTATAACATATAAAAGGTTTTTTTATAACTTAACAACTTCAAAAAATTGTGGTAAGTGAAAAATATTACATTTTATATAAGCCCTCACTTCATTTGAAAACCTCTTTTTTTTGGCACAGGCTCATATAAAATTAACTTCTGGCCATTTTTTATAAGTCTGAAACATGAAGTATGCTATCTGTTGCTTTTAATAGGTGATAACTTATACATAGAGACATTAAAAAGTGTAAGTTTTGGTATATTTTGGTTTTTAGAAGCCCAAATTTGATAGTTGAAATTGTTCAAATCAATGCCACAATTCAGCACCCAAAGTTCAGATATAAAAAATGCCACATTTTGTATAATTGGTATCATATGACTTTAAAACTTTGTACACTGTTTTATAATACACTAAGCTAAATTAATGCCAAGTTTTATAAGAATTGGTCATGTTTTTGGAAATGAAAGAAGAGAGGTGAAATAAACTTTTGGATGTTGCATTTTAACTGATTTTGATATGGAAAGAGTGATTAGGCCAGGTGCAAAAAGGTGATATTTACAGTTTTCGGAACATCTCTTGACTTGTCTATAGGGGTATGGATGTGTATTAGCTAAATTTGTAAGATACTGGGAAGCAATCTTTCTGGATGTTGGATATATGTTTGGACTAGTACTGTACTTAAAACACACAAAACATTTGACAAAAAGAATCGGTGCAATTTTTTTAATGAAACAAAACGATATAAAGAACTAATAGAGAATTTAATTGTGGTCTGTGGCCTAATTGACGCTGCAACGACAGTGTTTGCATGCACTCTATCTGTAGGTTTATTGTCACAAAATTAAATATCATAATAAATAGCAATCAATTTCCAAGTAAAAGAAAGGAAGTCCCTAATATAATTGTCGAAATGTGCATCTGATGCAACAACATTGGTACCGTCAATGTTAAAATTACCTTCCTTTGTCAGCTATTTGATTGTTAAAATTTTATTAGACCTGACTTTGCAAGTAACGAAACTCAACATCACAAGGGGTATACATTCAGTATCTACAATTAGGCAATGAACTGTATTTGTACCTCTCATTTTCTTCGCTGAGACTTTGGCTTAAATCGTTGGCTTCTTTCAGGCGAACTTCGGAGTCCTTCAAAGACTTATATTTTGCTTGAATTCTAAATTAGAAATATTAAATAAAGTTAAAGTGGCAGAATACATTATTTATGATAGATACGATTTGAATTCAAATAAATCGACATATTTATTTTTCGATTATTTTTTTGTGTATAATTCAGGCTGTTTGTTTACTCGTTTGAACTGTCAGGGTCGTTTACTGCGTTCTATGCGGTATGGGTTTTGTGTATTATTGAAGACCGTGAGGGGACCTGCAGCTGCTAACTTCATTTTGTAAAGGTGGAGCGTTGTCCCAGTGGCAATCATACCACATTCGCTTTCTCATATAAGATTGGGATTCCTTTTATATAGTTCCCAAATACTTCAATCGCTCATCTTTGTAACTTGATTTAGATAAGATAGCAATATACAAAAACGTTTCTTTATCGATTAAAATAGGATATGAGATTGTGTAAAGATATTTCTTTGCAAATAACATAACAACTCCGAAAATTAGCGAAAAAATCGACAGGATGATATCATACAGTAATTCCCAAATATGTAATACAGTTCTATTAGAGCATCGTTAGATGCTGGAATGAAGTCAACTATTTAACCTATGTTTAACTCCACCATATTCTGTATGCGCCTGTGCCAAGTCAGGAGCCAGTAGGGCAGTAGTTGTCGTTGGTCGTTGTCTAACATTTTTGTTGTTCCTCTGTTGTTTTGTACATAAATGAGTGCGCTGGTTTTTTCCTTTGAATTGTTTAAATTTACATTATACCATGTTGAGGAATTTTATAGCTTACTATACGGTAACTTCGCACATCGTTGAAGACCGTATTGTGACCTATGCATGCTTACATCTACATCATTTCGTCTCTGGTGGACAGCTGTGTCAAAGGCAATCATACCAAATATAATTAGTTTTATTTGCAAGTGATGTGAAACTATATAATGATACTTGCTGAAATCTGTCTTAATCAATGTTAAATATTATTTAATATGCCAGCTTTAGCTAGCACTTATGGTAGAAGCATCGAATTGGAATAAAGAACGATAACTCTCTCTACATGATCAATCTAAAAAGTTTCGTCACTCTCGTTAAATCTCGTACAATTTAATAAAAAAAATCTAAGTTGATCAAGTCAAGTTATCTAACTCTAAAAAATATTTGTTTCTATTTTTTTCGTTATATTTATTAAATAAATATTGTATTCTTGCTTGGCTCTAAATATAAAGTCAATTCTTCAAATAATGAAAACGAAATTAGCATTGGAATATCCGTCAGGACATTGTCCGGACATTAGTTTAACCCTTATATTTTTAATGGCTGCCAGATTCTCGTTTAATCGCGATCTTGAAAAAACGGGACAAAACGGAAAAAAATCGATGTTAAATACGACATGAATTTTTATTTGTTTACAAAAACAAGAATTTAGAAATTTTAGTAACTTGTGTAGTTTATTTAAATTTAATGGTACAACGGAAATAACCGAAGTTTGGACAACAACATCTTACGCCATGTTTCATCGTCTGCTGCATCTTTCAATTATCAGTGACAAATTTCCTAAATAAACACAGGTACTTCATTTAAAAGTTACAATATCATAATTTATGCTAACATTTGTAGTTAAAAGTTCCGTCCAGCCATGGGAACATAGAAAAACCCTCTGCAAGCAATAAATTTCGGGAGAAACGTAGCCGGAGGTAGTAAAATCCGGTGCTCTGCCTCTGGTTGACCATGACCACTATTATTTATCTGCTACAGAATTTCCCATATCAAGTTACAGTGATAAATCATCATAATGAAGTTGGTTATACTGTTGAATGTGATCATGGTTATTCCTGTAGCTCACAGACAAATGCAGGTGAAATTCAAAACTTAACAAAATCTTCTCATTAATTATGTCACATATCTACCTTAAACAGTCCCAGGAGATGGAGATTTTTTTTCACTCAAAAATCATAAAACAGCTGTAAAAGGAGATCTAGACTTGAGTCTGGGTGATACATTTATAGGTACATATATATTGTATGCACCCATATTGTCCAAAATAGGATTTTATGGGAAGACGGAGTTATGATAACCAATGATGATACCATGACTTTCGATAGGTCAAGAGCATGTTACTTGGAATCCTTTGAAATTCAAGCTGCCGACACATTATTTGGATGCAATATAAATAATTGCCTCCCGCGATCGCCTGTATATTTTATACGTCAGTTTAAACCTGATCAAAACATTTTCCCTCTACTGAATACTTTTATCGGGTGCACATTTCAACCTATTAAAGCAATAAACACTTAAGGCTATAACGTCACAGTTCCCAAATTGCACCCAGTACCCAATTTGCACTTATTCATCAAAAATAACTGCGGAAATCTTACAAGTTTTCTTTGAGACTAAACAATTTGTATTGTTATGATTTGACATTATACATGTCTTTCAACATCGTTTAATATATTTGAATATACACAAATCGTTTACAATGAGAATATATCAACAGATGAAGCATTCCCAGGAAAAAGTAAATCTACGAAAACGTCAGTGTTGTCACCATGCGAAGTTATCTAATTATCATCTTTTAAAAATGTAAGCAACTTCACAACTGCAAGTTAATTTTCATGACCAAAATAAAATAAAGTACAAACAAAAAAGCAATAAAATGCTTCGCCAAGCAGAGCCTTATACAACCGCAGATGTAGATTAGCATATAAAAAACACCAAAATTTCTATGTCAGTTTAAATCAAACATATTTTAATTTTGGACCCTTCAAACGTTAATATGAACTAATTTAAAAGTATCAGGTGAGCCCGAACATTTCTATTCAGCTGCAGTCTCCAACTACATATCTCCTTAATTTTATATGATAGTCCCACAAAAATGTTGAAAAATTATGTGTACATTTAATTTTTTTTCTAGATTCTCTCATGTCATACATGTGAAAGCGGTACCTTTTTGGTCACTATTTATGTTTTGCGGCTAAATATGAATTGTAACACTTTATAGTGACTGACCAGGTCTAACAAATACTTTTCAAGAAACATGCAGACCGAGAGAGAAGACAACTTGGAACAGCACCAGCCATGCCAGACTATGTATGAATAAAAACTCAGATCGGAATAGCATGGACGATATCTTTGTTATATGTCCTTGTGAATAGTAAGGAAAGCTATCACTAATTCTGCAGATAACGCAGTTTAATCAGGTTTATCGTACATTTTCTGTTCAAATTTTCACACAATCAGTGAAATGTTCAAAAAGGCAAAACTAACTTTTTATTACTAAAAGTTTCAAACAATGACAAGTGTTTCATTCATGAAATAACTCGTGCGTTTCTGCGAAAAAAATCATGTGCAATTTTGTGATTAAAGAGAAAGAAGATCCTTTAGCGGTGCATGTCAATTGCAAACTGACCCAATATATTTTTTATATCATGACCAGTTCACTGATACTGACGTCGACGTTATCAAGAAGTACACATCAAAGGAAAAATGCACAAATTACCGATAAAAATAATTTACACACCCTGTTTCGTGTGTATCTCCTGCCATATCAGTATTTGTTGTATTTATATATATATGAGAAATAATCAATGTAAAAATGGTAAATTTTTGGAGAAAAAAAAAATTATGGAAAAAACAACCCAAAAATGTTGTTTTTGACCACTGACTCCTAAACTGTTGATACCATATGATAACCCCCAAAATCAATTCTTACCTTCCTTTTGTGTATTGAAGTTGAACCTTCTGGTACAATTTCATACATTGTCATAGAGATCCATTAACTTAAACTAAATTTATTGTCCGGAAACCAAATCTGTCTTCGGACAACAACAGCGACATGATTGCATTACTCGAAAGAAATTTTTGACATATCCCCTTATTTCCATTCTGAATTTTATTTTGCCGTCGTATAAAAACTTGAAAAGTATAAGCTAATAAAACAAAATGCAAAAATGACATAAAACTGACTCTGAATTAGTACATGAAATTGATGTAGAAACCCACAAACAGAAGATGATCAGGAATACATTTATACTACTGAGTAGTGATCTCCCCTCAAATTTTAAATAGCATCCTAGAAAATAGCAAAATCTTTAGATTATCAACTGAACAATCCTATTTATGGTTCCTTATGCTTAGATCAAAATGAAAAACCTGATCAAAATATTATTCAAAACAGGCTCACTGTAAATTCAAACTCTTCTTTTAACAACCAGAATGATCCTCTTGCTGATCACATATATATGAGATGCAGGAAACTGGGAATACAATATGAACATCCAGCTAATTTAGAAAGTAAAAATAATTCAACAAACAGAAAGCGTTGTTTGCAATACTAAATAAAAAAAAAAAACCAGCTACAACTTTTAGATATTGATGAAAATGATAATCCAAATCCTCCACCTTTTCATGAAATTCAACAAAAAATTAATTTAATAAAGTTATGGACTGTATAACAGTATTCATAGTTTTGAAATTAAACAAATGTCTTATTGTTTTAAATTATGTAAAATTTGCAAAGAAAGAAAAATGGATTTGAAAATGGCACAAGGTAATGAATTTAAGCATCGTCATTTAGATACATAACCAATAAATTTATTTTTCAGCAGAAAACAATATGGACAATAAGGGTGCAACCATTTAGCTTCAAAAGGGCGGGGGTATGGTTTTTTGTTTTAGTTAGTTTTTTTTTCATGCAAAGGGCTTCAACGCTATCAATCAAAATTATTTGGTCAAAAATTAACACTAGAAGGTATGGGGTTTATCTGGATTCAGAATATTTTTTTGTCCTAGCTCTGCTTGATTTATAGAATTTTTTTTCATCAATTTGGGAGTTCAATGATCGTTCCCTTAACATTCTCCATCTGAACTTATTAATTTATTTTGTAGACAAAAACTATATGTAGGACATTCGTCCTGAACATGCATGAAATATTTGCTACTGGACGTTAAGCAAACCAACAATCAATCATTATATAGGACATAGTCTTGGTAAGCTGGCATTCAAGGTAGCGCCTTCCTCATATTAAAATGTCATATTTATTGCTAATACATTTATGCACTCTTGCTCTTCGAATATAATTATAAAGTCGATGAAATAAATCATTATAAAAAGTAATGTAGTTTTTTTTTATCCTTGAGAAATTGTTTCCAGTGATATTCAGCCAAACTGACATAGTTACCAGGGTTAAAATCGTGTACGCCATACGCGCGTTTCGTATTCAAAATGATTCAACTAATTAAGACAAATAACTTATAGATTGGATTGTTTTTATCAATATTGTTACATAGGGATACATACTATTGATTTTCATAGTCAAGTAGTAGCGAAATAAATATAAATGAAAAAAATAAGTATGAAATAAAAACAACACCTTATAAATTTCGTGCGTCTGAAGCGCTTTTGTGGATTTACCTTCACCAAAGCCACTCGAACCCAAACATGGAAAGCCAGGGATGTGTGAATAAGAAGAAACGAAAGGAAGTTAAAACCAAAAGAGACTTATAATATAGCCAACTTCATCTAAAGTCAACTTTGGCAGCAGGAGTTATGAAAGTATATTATGTAAAAAAAATGTGTCCACAAAAATATAGAACGCAAAAAGGGGAAGTCTTTAAAAACTGACAAAACCAAACGATGGGATAGATCAACCAACGGAACGACTGAAAACAACTGTCATATTCTTCATATTTCTCCGGAAACTAGTGGATTAAAACTGTTTTTATAGCTAGCTTAACCTCCCACTTGAATTACAGTAAATTGTAAGTGGCATAGCTGTTATCAATGCTTGTATGTTTGACCTTCTCAATTCTAATCATACAGATCCCCAATATTTTCTTCGTTGAGATAATCTATTCCCACGTATGCCTTTATCACTGAAGTATCTACATATTAAACGCATGGGAAAAGAATGGAGAGGCCTTAGGCCAAAGAAAATATATGTATCTGAGTTTTGTATATAAAGATATCGATATTCATTACGACAAGCCTTTTATTCTCAATATTTTGTATCCTTACCATATTAGAATTAACAAATTATCAATTATATCTGAACTTGCCCTCTTGTAGCAATCATAAAGTGCTTAAACAAATATCAAGCATTGCACATTGTCTAGAGTGTCTACATGCCATTTTGTTTTCTTCTTTGTTGACATAGTTATTTGTTTTATAGTGATTAAGATTATTACACAATGTTGACTGCTGTACTCCAATTTTTGACATTTTTACCTATTATGTCTGTTTGTTTTGCTCACACCTTGTTGTCAATATAATATAAATTAATGCGACTGTCATACAACTGAGAGGTTTAGCTAGCTATAAAAATAGGTTTAATCCACCTTTTAATACATAAGGAAATGTCTGTACCACGTCAGAAATATGACAGTTGTTTTCCATTCGTAGATGCGTTCGAGCTTTTGATTTTGCCATTTGTTAGGGACTATCCGTTTTGAATTTTTCTTGGAATTCGGTATTTTTGTTATTTTACTATTGAACATTATCTGCCGTTTTCAAATTCTGATGTATTAATTGTAATTGCTCAGATGTATACTCTGGCAGATAGAAATGCTTTCAACAAAACAAGTTCTGTTTCATTGAAGTGTGTAGATTTTCCTTTCGACATTAAAAATTGTGTAATTTGAAAAGCGGTCTCGTAGTATTATCACTTACTAGCAAGCAGAGTTTGTTGAATATTTACAATTTACTGTATTTAAGGACCTTAATGGTTAAGCTTTTACCAAGAACTATAGATATTTGAAAGTCCAATATGAAACAGAAACAAACAAATACTATCTATATATTCATCTTACCTCCTATACACTTCTTGGAATATCATTCGTTAAGTGGAAACCGTGTATATTCAAAATTAAAGAACCTTAGTGAGCGCGCTCACATACCCCACGTCCCCACATTGTCATTGGAGAAATAAAATAAGTGTAAGAAAAAAAAATTGTATAAGAAAAAAAATTGAATCATAATTTCCTGTCAATATGCAAATCTACATAGTATGTCCTTATTATCTACAAAGTTTCATGAAATTCTATTATGTGGTTTCAGAGGAGTTGCGATGACAAACTGTTGCAAAAGTACATTGAGGCAAATAAGTTCAAATGGCGTAACACTAAGAAAAAAAATGAATCGCAATTTCCTGTCGATATGCACATCTACATAGTATGTCCTTATTATCTAAAAAGGTTTCATGAAATTCTGTTGTGTGGTTTCAGAGGAGTTGCGATGACAAACTGTTGCAGTAGTACATTAAAGCAAATAAGTTCAAAGGGGCGTAACTCCTGGAAAAAAAATGAATCTTAATTTCCTGTCGATATGCACATCTACGTAGTATGTCCTTATTATCTGGAAAGGTTTCATGAAATTCTGTTGTGTGGTTTCAGAGGTGTTGCGATGACAAAAGGTTGCAGTAGTATTTGGGGCAAATAAGTTCAAAGGGGCGTAACTCCTGGAAAAAAAATGAATCGTAATTTCCTGTCGATATGCACATCTACGTAGTATGTCCTTATTATCTGAAAAGGTTTCATGAAATTCTGTTGTGTGGTTTGAGAGGAGTTGCAATGACAAAAGGTTGCAGTAGTATATTTGGCAAATAAGTTCGAAGGGGCGTAACTCCTGGAAAAAAATTGAATCATAGTTTCCTGTAAATATGCACATCTACGTTGTATGTCCTTATTATCTGAAAAGGTTTCAGGAAATTCTGTTGTGTGGTTTCAGAGGAGTTGCGATGACAAACTGTTGCAGTAGTATATTTGGCAAATAAGTTCAAAGGGGCGTAACTCCTGGAAAAAAAATTGAATCGTAATTTCCTGTCGATATGCACAACTAAATAGTATGTTCTTATTATCTAAAAAGGTTTCGTGAAATTCTGTTGTGTGGTTTGAGAGGAGTTGCGATGACAAGAAATAGGACTTACGGACTGACGGACGGACAGACGGACAGACGGACGGACAGACGGACGGACAGACGGACGGACAGACAGACGGACGGACAGACGGACGGACAGACGGACGGGTCAAAAACATTATACCCTCCGCAACTCGTTGCGTGGGTATAATTAGGTCAATGGACGTGTTTTATTTTACTACACGGTCAGTGGATGTGGTTTATTTTAAATACACGGTTAGCAGTAGAGTTATGGTCTTTTTTAAAACCAAAACAATCTGGCATACATTGTGAACATACATAATTATAATTTTATCATGCTCTCGTCTCATATGGAAATTACTGACCCCGTATATATCGTATTAGGTATAATACGTTTGCTTTACAGCATACTGGTTGTTGTCCCTATAGGGACACTATTATTCACAAAGTATACCTTCGAACCAGTAGCTAGTGTTTTTGGTGCATCTCTTTCAATGCTAAAGTGTACAAAATATGTAATACGTTTTTCACTAGGTTGTAACTGGTTCTAATAAACGGTACAATTAGTCTTTTAAAATATTCCTTACCTAGTATCTTGTGTTTAAGTATTGCATACTTAAGATGTAATTGGCGCCCTTTTGATTTTATGCTCATATAAACTTATCATGCATGTGATATCCTTTTGATATCAAGCTTGCACGTTTATTTTTTTTTCAAAAAAGGGTCTTGCATAATGAGTTTCATACATTTGTTTGACCTGAAGGAGATGGAACTTTTTTGTCCCAAAATTTATGTAATTTTGACCATCGAACGAATTACAGGGAGAATAATTTGCCAGAAAATATGCAGTCTAGTAGCAAATGTATCAATGTGGATGATTCCGAAACTAATTTGGTGTCAATAATAAGAAAAATGGCAAAGTCTCCATTTGCTACAATAGAGACATTTTCTGGGCTAACATGTATAGGAAATTATTAAGTGTGTAAAGCATAACTTATACAAATACATTGGAAGTTACATATGTAATCACCTATGTCTAACTAATCCTTTGAATAGAAATAAAAATGTAAAAATATCCTGCGTCAGATGTACTTTCATGGTTAACCATCAGACATGATCAAAGCTAAATATTTGGAAGCCAGGGATGTATAAATATGTTTAAACGTTGTGAGCTATTTAACTAAAATAAGTTATAATATTTATTTTATCTGACCGAGCTTAGTAAGTTACAAATGTAAATCCACTAGTCTGTGCGATAAAACTCAACCTTAATTTTCAGTCCTTTATATACTTAGATCAATTCCTTCAAGGACAAATGTAAAAGTAAGAATAAGTTACAATAAGGCTGTCTGTACTTAGTGATCACATGACCTAAATCTATAAACGATTTATACATTACATACTCTTGTTTTGCTTTTTTGGCGTTACTCTTTTTCTCCTTAAGTTTAGTTTTTAGCTCTTCATTTTCCTTTTGCAGTTTTCCAAGCTCTTCCTGTCTAAAGAAAATAGAAAAGTAGTTACAAAAACAAATATTAACTTTGGCAAGTGAACAACTATTTGCAATTACGTTGTTTTAGTATATTTTTTGTTGTAACAATATAAGCATTCAAATAAAACAAGCGTATTTGCAACAAATTGGGGAAGTCTTCTAGCAATAGTGCAGAACTGTCATATTAATAGCAATGCTCAAATAACATTAGCGGTACAAATTGTCCTGCACCAGATACGCATTTCGAAAATAAACGTCTCTAAAGTGATGTTCTACGCCAAAATAATTAAAATTCAAAAATCTAGATGCTTCTTCGTTAGAACTGTTCTAGGTTTTGACAGTTCTAAAATAGAACGATCCAAAACTGTTCTGATGTAGAACTGTTAGTATCAGTTACATGGTTAAACCGTTCAAATCTGTTTAGTGTATACCTGTCAGATTCTGTGCTAGGGTAGAACAGATTTAAATGACGAAAATTAGAGCATCTCTGTAAGCACATCTTCGCTAGCCAAGGGCTACGATCTAGCCCCCTCCTCTCCACCCTTGGCGGATTGAGATAGAATTTCGGAGACACAAGGTATTGATTTCTATTGGTCGCAGTTGTAACTGACTGCATCCAATCAAAAAGCACTTTTAAGATGATCACGTGCAAATGTAGAAAATGTAAATAAACAATTGCCACGTGCTGATTGTGCAACAAGTCTACCCCCAAAACGTAGAACGATATTTGGTGACAATTTTAAAGTTCTTAATTTATTTATTGAATTTCCCGGTTATTTTTCTCGCGCAAATGTTAGAATGTCAACATATATTTTCAGTTCCTGCTTCACGAAATTTGTAAACACTAGACACGATCATTTTTACACCTCTACATTGAAGTGAGTTCTAGTGCTGCCATTGGTCAGAAATGATGATGTCGGAATGGGCGTGACTTTTATCTACCGGTAGATGGCGCAGCATTGTAATCACAAATGTTGGCTTCACCCGCATATTTTAAATAAAAGGGTTTTAAACAGTCTTGAATGCATTGTTATTTATTTCATTGTCCATGTTCATATTTGATATTGAATTAATTTTTTTTAATTTGTATCTTATAATAATAAAGCAGAAGAGGTAAAAAAATCTGAATTTTTTATTTAACATTAAAAATAATATTTTCTGTTTGAACAGACAATTATACAGTTGAAGGAGGGTATCATATCTCATAATATTTTGTTTTATCACTACCAGTATATATTATATTTATAGATCAGTTTCTAAGACAACTGGGCTCAAATTACCTAGTATTGAACTTAAAGGATCATGTGACATTCTGCTTTGGGATTTTTTGAGATCGCTTTAGAGTCGCTTTATGGAATAATTCGTTAATATATAACTTTAGAATGATGTTCATGTGCGGCTTTCCATACTTTTTCGAGGTTTGACCCAAACTCAATCGTAACATCATATACGAAATATATAAATGCCTTGTTGAATCAGTACATCCGACTTTCTCGTAAGGTGAGACGGAATTGTCTTTTTCCCCGTGACTAGATAATTTTTGTCACATACAATTCTAAATATTATAATGAAAGTATTTCAATAGGTAGTGTTAGTGTAATAATATTTCAAAATCATAAAAGGGAATTAAATTACATACAACTAGTTTAAAGTGTAATTATAAATGTACATCAAACATCGATAAAACCAACACCTGTGTAAACTTTTGCTTGGTACCAGGGTAAAATCGAACAAAAATAGTTTTCGAAGTTCTCAAGAAATTGAAAGGCTCAATAAATAGACATCTACCGTTATAAACTCCAAAAAGGCAAAAATGATTATTCAAGGGTTAGCAAATGACACAGTCATGATTAATAAGCAGGAAACTCTCAATTGTTCCTGCATTTATAAAGTAAGAGGAACCGATCGATTCAATTGTCGTTTTTTTCTCTATAAATGTTAAGCAAAGCAGGTTTACCATCACAACGATATAAGATACAACCAAAAAGTCAGATTTTTGTTCAACAAACTTGTATATAACATGAGTGAGATTGCTTGATAAAAAAGTAAAATAACAAAAACGGAAAATTTATAACGGAAAGTCCCTTATCAAATGGCAAAATCAAACGAATGGAAAACAACTGTCATATTCCTGCCTTGGTACAGACATTTCCTTATGTTGGTCATGGTTTATTACCATTATCAAATATATTCCAGAACAACTTCAGATAACTTTCTTAAATATACTCCGCAATTTAAAGGAACGCATAATGGATTTGTTTTAGAATTTTAATACATGTATTTTGAATAGAAATTTTTCAGTTACTAATAAAGATATTCACTCAAAACGTGTTTGATTGAGAAGTGGACAGTCAATTTCTTCGAGATTGATGAATAAAAGTCAATTTATCACAATTAGAGTTACTTCCGGTGCCTTTAAAGTTAGTACCGTGTATGAGCACCTCTCGCTGCTAAGACTGCTCTGCATATGCTATCAATGTTCTAATGTTGTTGCGTGGAATTGCTCGCCATTCCTGTTGCAACATTTGCTGATCAAGGGTTTGAGGAGGGGGTTGACGCTGGCGCACACTTTTATCCAGTTGGTCCCATAGATGCTAAATAGGGTTTAAGTCTGGTGAATTGGAAGGCCACGGTAGTACATTGATGGTATTCTGCTCAAGGTAGTCAATGTTAAACGCGCTGTGTGAGGCCTAGCATTGGCCTAATGGAATAACTCCCTCTGTCGATCAATAACATGCATAAGGTGAGGTTGGATAATTTCATATCTGTACCTCTGAGCCGTTAAATTACCCGGAACATGTACCAATTCCGTTTAACGGTCATTAGATATAGCCGCCCAAATCATGACACTTCCTCCACCGAAGCTGTTCACGTCTTGGACACACGACGAAGCAAAATGTTCATTCATGCGCCGGTAGACACGAGTTCTTCCATTACGTTTCTGAAGCATAAAACGGGACTCATCACTGAACCAGATTCTGCGCCAGTTGCGGAATGTCCAGCCCCTCAATCTGTTGCACCATCGGACTCTATTCCGTCTGTGTAACGGCCTCAAAACGGGTCCAAAATACGACCTCCTGGGTCTAATGCCATGTTGTTGAAATACGCGGATGTAGCGATCTTGTCCAGGAGTCGTTAAGCGATGTCGTCGTCTTCTTCTCGGGCGGTCCTTAGTACAGCCAGTCTGCTGGTATCTGTTCCAAAGTCGCGAAATTGTGCTCTGGTTAACATTTTCAGTTCTTGCTACTTCACTTTGGGACACTCCGGCCTGGAGACGGCCGATGACGATATTTCGAATAGCAGTGTCCAACCCTGGCATGGCAACATTTTAACGTTGTGATGAACTAAATCTTCAAACTTGGTTCTTATATCCGCAAGTTGAGTTGACCACAAAATTCTCGTGAAAAACGTTATAAAATTTCGCGGCGAAAAAGGTCATATGCACTTTTAGCGAGTCGCAAATTTCATGTGGCAGAGAGCTTAATCAAAAGAACGGGCATTTAAAGTTGAAAACTTACCTGTAAAAATTCGAAGATGCATATATATTTTGCATTTTTAAAAAATACATCCGAGCTATGCGTTTCTTTTTTTTTTTGACAAGTATATACAAATATTCTGTTTGATTGACTTTTATATACATTGAAGAATAAAACATACTTCGTGACTTCAACGTCGTTAGTATCTGAGGTATCCATCGGTTGGTCCCGTTCCAGTTCTTCTTTACTTAAAACAACAACAACAAAATTATTTTGCTTGATTGCCATTGACACAAGCAATTTTGAAATAAGTCAAGTTTTTAATTTGAATATCCAACATTAAATCATTTTTACTATTATTAGTTTATTCACATGAAATTCGTAACGCATGTTACTAAATAACACGTTATAGTGTTACTTTTTTCGGATGCATTCCTATGAGGAAAAATTGCTAATTCACTTCTACTAAACTATTTTTAGAATTCGTAAACAAACGATAGTATAAGGTCGTTGAATCCTCATACTTGGCGAAATTGATCGGAGGTAATGAAACCAAAACTTTTGTTTAAACTGTTAACGATAGCAAATAGTAAACAATTGTTATACTGGAAACTGTATTGTGTTATTTCAAGTAGTTCGTGTACCCAATTTGTTTTGGAGCTAAGGTATATTTATAATATGCATTTTTATTTGGTAAGTGTTGTACCCGATTAATGAACAATTGTATATTTCTTTGTCAGTTTATCATAGTTCTTTTTAAAATGACTTTCGAAAATAGAGCACATATGCTAAGTTTAACAGAAATGTTTGCAGTAACAACGGTTGCTAAATGTCATTTCTAATTATTTGAAAAATATGTTGCATATCTTTTTGCGTCGAATTTAGAAATAAGCAGTACAAATAATAAATGATGATAATCCAAAGAAAGTTTTTTTTCAAGTTTTAAGACCGAACAAGTTCAATTTACAACAATAATATATTTTTATATTATTATCAAGGTACAACAAAGTACTGACAAGTCTTATTAAATGATATTACAATTATCATGTTCAATACAAACAAATACTTTTCTATAAAAGAATCACTGCTCTTGGTGTCATCAGGACCACTATTTGTGCTTTCTGTTTCAGCCTTATGAGAGCTATATTCATCTTCAATTTTGTTTGCTCTAAATATATGAAAAGTAGAGAAGAAATAAAAAAAGGGAAATTTTTTCGACCTTAACATATATAGGTACAGAATATGTTTCCCTTTATGAAACGATACATAGTATGGGCAATTATATGAATATGAAGTCATTCGGTTCAGTAATACTAGAGAAATGTATGACGGCAGTATTAAGTTAATTCAACATATTGAAAAAAAAAACAGAATATCAGCAAACAGGAAATACAGAGGTGTAAAACAGATGCAAAAAGTGATCACATAATTATAACAAATTGTATCACAATCAAGCAGCTAACAAAATATGAAGTACTCATGTACGTTCGAAAAGTGTGACGAAAATAATTAATTGAAACGGACGTACAAGGTGAATGCAAAGAAAATCCCCAACTCCTAGAGTGGGTTTGTAATATAACAAAAACAATAGACTAAGTGTAATAAACAGGCTGTTTTAGTATTAGCCCTGGTAGAAATTCGAGATTACAATAAAAAAAAGTATTAACAAAAATACCGAACTCCAAGGTTATTTCAAAAAGGGGGAAGTCCATAAAACCTGACAAAATCAAACGTTAGACTTTATCAACCAACGAATGGAAAACAACTTTCATATTCCGGACTTGGTACTGACATTTTCCAATAAAAATGTTGGGTTAAACCTGGTTTTATAGCTAGCTAAACCTCCCAATTGTATGACAGTTGTTTGTAATTCCGTTATATTGACAAACAATGTAGCTGTATTGATCCTGAGACTTGAAGAGTCTTTATAAGAATCTTACCGGCATACAGTTATGGGAAATAATAATAATCGAGTAGATATCATACAGCAACTTCATTAACAATACAGGAAGACAGGTTATTGAACAGATATATCATGTTAAGGAGGGGTGTTTGCAAAAAAATACCAGTCGAGAGAATGTTAAATTTCGCGAGCCGTAAGGCGAGGGAAATTCATTCTCAAGACTGGTATTTTTCGCAAATACCCCTCAAGAACATGCTATATCTGTTTAATTACACCGAATGTTAACGTTCAAAAACGCATTGATGATCGTGACGTTACAAGCGTCCAGTCGGATAGAGTATGTTTTGGCAAATACCATGGCAGAGAGGGTAAAAAAGGCATATCCTTTTTGCATATACCCCGGCGGCGTTAAAAAATGAACGATATTCATTTGATAACAGTAAATTGGTGAAAAATACACTGGCTATCAACCAATCAAAACCCAGGATTCTTACATAAGGTGTAATTATTAAGAAAATGTTATTCTAAAATAATAGTAGCTTTTAAAAATACGTTTTAATTACCTCTGATTAAAGTAAGAAAATTATATTTTCTGAATTAAGACCGTGCTATGTGCATTCATTGAGGCAACGAGTTAACAGTTTGCTATTAATATATATATATATATATATATATATTGTATTCTGTGAAATACTTTGGTTTATAATAGCATCGTAACAATAAAGACATACGGGAGTACGCAAGATGGTAGTCTAAAATATGGATACAATTGTTTGGGGAAAGGGCGATAAAGATCCATCAGTGTAGTAGGAAAACTAAGAGAAAATCTGCTCTACTTTACTCATTATGCCGCTTTCACATTGAAATTGTTTGCTTTGTACATTCATCTTCCTTCTGTTAAAAGGGGCCTCGGTGGTCGAGTGGTCTAAAGTAGTCGAACTACTGTATCACCAGCCTGTAAACACTGAGGTTGTGAGTTCGAATCCTGCACGGGACAGGTGCACTCGACTCCAATCTTAATTGACTAGGACTGTCAGTTTTCCTACCGAAGTTCGGTGGTTCTCTCAGGGCACTCCGGCTTCCTCCGCCAATAAAAACTGACCGCCATGAAATAGCACAATAGTGTTGAAAGTGACGTTAAACACCAATCAATCAATCAATCTGTTAGAAAATGAGGGTTAACATTGCTACTTTTGTATTTTTACGTAATACTAGCCTTTTTCTTGAGTTATCTGTTGTTTGGATATCATCATTATCAGAATCTGTGTCAGCTTTGGATGACACGATCGACTTATCAGGTCGATGTTCTCTGAAAAATAGCAATTGTTCAATATGAAGAGTTTATTTTTGGCCAACGCGATGCTATTTAAAAGTACATGGTAATGTCGTTGTCTCATATGTCATATAAGACTTACACAGACTTTTAATAAATAATATTATTCGGCACTGACATGATTTAAAGCATTACCTTCTTAAATCCTCCATTGAAATAATGAGAAATTATTAAGAAACTAAGGTTCCAACTACCTCCGGCAAAGTTGACCGAGGAAGGATTTTGTTATTTTGTTCATTTTCCCTTCAGTCATAAAGCTTATTAAGTATTTAATTTGTATACATCCTTGCCTTGTAAACAATTTTGTTCTTGTTTGAACGTCTCTGTAGAAATGTGCTTTTGACGCACCTTTGTCAGGTGTTATTTTCCATTTAAAATCTATAAGATAGATTTGTGCATCTTTCATTTTATTCTTTAGTCAACGTACTGTGGATTTTCCCAAAGCAAAAAGCATGGACTTTGACATGCATACAAAAGGAGTAGACACGTTGAATCTGCAATTACTCCTAAAACAAAGACCTTATTCGAAAGAAATTATTGTAGAATATTCTTTCATATTGAACACCTTCTATTTTCGAATTAATGAATTAATTATGCATGGGAGTTGTTTAACATGGACTTTCCTATATCTTTACAATAAGGGAGTGAAATAGTTTAAACAGTTTCTTTGATATTTTTATTCAAACGTTAATAATATACAATTATATAAGTAATCATATGACCCATTGTGGATGTAATTTTTGTGTACGTTTGACTGTTTTCTGTTGAAGAGCTTTATATATGTTTATGTATGCTTTGTTTTGTATTTAGCTTTATTTGGTCTAAGATTTAGCATATCATATTATATTTATTGTAAAAGTTTCAAGATGAATTTTATAAAACAAAAAAGTGCGAGAAGTAACGATACAATAAAGTGTTCAGTCTAATTGGGAGAGTTAAATACAGCAGTCATATTGGGATAGGTCAACCCCTCTGAACGTTAAGGGGGCTCATAAAACCATGCGTGTTGAGGAACGTCCGTTTGACTTTACGGGATGTAATGCGAAGGGACGATAACTCAAAGATTCTTATCAAATTTGAACTAAAATGGTTGCCATATAAATGCCATGTTTGTTTGACACGCTAGGTTTCGTTGCAAAAGAACTTTACCACGATAATACATATGACATAAACCGATTGTCCGAATGATGGACATTTATTCTTAAAAAAGATTCTTCTTGAAATTTGTCAGTACATATGGGCATTGACTTTTTTTAATATACTTAAAGCTCAGAATATTTGTTTAGGGGACGACCATTTGATATTCTGGGGGGGGGGGGGGGGGGGGGGGGGGCAGGAGGGATGGGTTATTTATTTTTGTGGACCAAAAGAACAGATTATTTATTTTCTGCACTGTTGAAGCATGATTTTTCATTTTCATTAAAACAAGGGACTGATTATCTATTTTCACAATTATATTTATAATATTTGAAAACATACAATTTTTAAATTCTTAAATAAATAACATAGTCAATTAAGTCTATCAGAATTAATCATCATCCTCTGGAAGTTAATCTTTTGAATTACAAACTGCATATATTGCATACGTACAAGGTATTAAAGCTGGGCTGTAACTAGCCTCTTTTAAAAGTTGTCAAACATTTTCGCCGAGCGGAGCGAGGCGAAAAAAAAATCAGCGAAGAGTCTGGGGTTCGCTGAAGGCCCCAAGAAGCTATAGAAAAAAATGGCGCAAAATCATGCATTATGCGCGTTTCCCAGACCCTTTCTTAATCTGAAACGCAAGTTCTGTTTTAAGTTTTTGACAATATTCTGGTCTCAAAGCAAAATATATAGATTCAGTGTAAGACTTTTAGTTTTTAGGGATAACATCAAAAGACCAATATGTAGGACAAAGAAAAAAATGTTTCAGTTTGCAGAAAAACCTTTTATGCCTGTCAAATATGTTTTTTTCAAATTAAGTTAAGAGGGGGCTGATTATCATTGATATAACTATGTCAAGTCAGTTTTTATAACACATTTCAATTACAACTTGATGTAGTTCCTAACTGGGATACAATTTAAAGTAGTTTGTAATAGACAAAAGGTCCTTAAATATAATAAAACTCAAGTTTAAAACATAATTACTAAATTACAAATAGAATGCAACACTAAGAGAATAGTCATAAAGAAGGGCAATCAATGAACAAAAGACAAACACAAAAGACAAACCCGGGAACAGATAAAACAAAAAACGACAAACATTATAGACAATCAACACTGAAAAAATAAAAATAAATGAGAAACATGGATCTCAAAAAACAGGGGCTACGTCAGAGGGTAAACAGAACTTGCTTCTTGCAAGACATTTGCCGTGAAAACAATTTGATATGATGACAAGCTTTTGTTTTGAAAATTCAAACATGAGGCATTTGCCTCAATGTAGTTACGGCCCTGTAATAAAAGTGAGGTAAATGTTCAAGAGACAATATACCTCAAGTGAAATGAAACCCATTTTCAAACATTTCAAATACATTAATATTTATATTATTAAAAGATTTGGGAAGTTTTTCCCAAAAAAAATATGAAAAAAGACGAATTTTGGAAGAATCTGGTGCCATCTCATACTTCATAGGCATTTATAAAATGGCTTAAAAGACCTGCCAAGTTATTTTCAATACATTGTAAGTCAGGTTATTTATTTTCAAACTACCACAGAACAAACCATTCATTTTTGTTATTATCAAGGCTGAGTTATTCATTTTCAAAATCCTCCTGCCCCCCCCCCCCCCCCCCCCCCCCCCCCCAGGATATCAAATGGTCGTCCCCTTACTCCATACTTGTTGAAGGCCGTACAGTGTACTATAGTTGTTTACATCATTGTCCTTTGGTCTCTGGTGGATAATAGCCTTGAAACTTATTAGCAAGCATACCGCAATTCCTTATTATTTCTATTTTCTGTTTTGGTATCTATGATGAGTTTATTTACAAACATTGGGTCGATGTCACTGCTTGTGGAGGTTTCCTCCTCGAGGTTATCACCAGCCAAGTAGTCAGCACCTCTTTGTTGACATGAATTATCTTTGATATGGTCATAATAATAATTTTTCGCGTTTCGAAGTATAGAGGAAAATTATTGTACTAACGGTTCTTTCACATATACACGTATGGACACTTGATTATAACTGTAGTATCACGTGACTGGTCATTTTTCGCGGTTTAATTTCCAATTAAACCATTCGGGAAATTAAAACATTCTCTCGCCAACTTCGAACTGGTCAAGTTCTAATAATATGTTGACTCGTATTATTGTTAACGTTTTCAAATGTTTGCACTATATAGGTATATGTTTTTCCAGAATACAGTTTGTTGTATTTTGTTTGTGTAAACATAAGCCAATTATCAGTACTATCCAATGTACATCTCTCGCCACGATCTTCCGGGCATATTAATTATATATATAATTAGGGTTTGGACACAGGTTTCCATATCAACTGAGGTAACTTGGTTGTTGATTTTTCCTGGCCGGCGGGGTTATGACAGAGTAAAAAATGTTCAACTCGTATTGGCAGTTTGAATATTGTTTATATATAAAGATATTATTTTCATGATGTTATTATGTAATTAAAATAGATTATAATAAAATTCGGTGTCCTTCTAGTCTTGTGTGCGATCGGCAATTGTAAAATGTGTTTGAGATATTTTTGCCATATATTAGTATAGTGTGTACTTATAAATTACGTACCAGTTTACAAAACTTTGCATTTTTCGAAAAACTAAGGATTTTCTACCCCAGGAATAGATTACCTTATAGCTGTATTTGGCAAAGCTTTTCGAAATTTGGGTCCTCAATGCTCTTCAACTTCGTCCTCTAGTTGGCCTTTTTTACTTTTATAATCGAGTGTCACTGAAGAGTCCTTTGTAGAAGAAACGTGCGTCTGACGTACAAAATTTTAATCCTGGCATCTGTGATGAGTTTATATTCAAAACATTGCAGAAAAGATACCCCAAATTAACAATCAATTAGAAAAATTGAATAATGCAAATGATAATATTTTCATGACTTCTTTTTTTTTTATTTCACGCAATGCAATGTTATTATGATATTTGTAGTTGGTTACACTTACTCTTCCATATGTTCTTTGGAGGCCGTTGGTGTTTGTCCATCTGTGGTCTGAGTTCGTAGTTTATTCTGTTCACTGGAATTATATTTAATTCAAAAATTTATAATTTCATTTTGACTTGATGGCATTATCAAATAAAATCTATTCATCATTCTATGACAGATCTTTGATTTTCCACACTACGTCAGGGAAAATGTATCGAAAATCCAGACCCTCTAAACCGTCAGTCTTAGAGATTTGACAGTAACAAATATCCCAAAACTGTTTTTTTTATATCGCACAGATTCAATTTCAAGGAAAATGCCACACAACTTTAAAATTTACGAAAATCCCCTTCTGTACAAAAATACTAAATTGCATTTGAAATATTCGTCTGTATATTGTGGAATTTTTTGACATCCTTCTTTCCTTCGTTTAAGCAATACTCGTGAAGAATTGTCTAAATGTTTTCCATTGGCGCTGATATAAAACGTAATCGCATGTAGGGCGGCCTTATTGATTAGTCAATAAGTATCAATTATACAACCATTTTTAACTAACTAACAAGATACCATTTCCTGCTACTTTGATTTTTACTCAGTCCTGTCATTAAAAAGATTGATTTTTTTTTGCATATTTTAAATGGACTCCAACATTTGGTCTCGTTTGCTTTAGTCCTACATTCTGGGGAAAACGGACAAATGAGAAAACATACGAACAATGGACGATTAGAACTGGAAATTAAAATTTGCATTTACATGTTCCCACTAAAAACAAAAAATTGAGAGACAGAAAATAAAATGAATATTGAAAATGTACATCTAATAAGGCATGTACAATTAATGAAAATAAACATGACTGTGATTAGATATTAATCCCAATCAACAGTTGCGCTTTCAATTGAGTTATAATACGCTCCTAGATTATATTTGATCAGAGTATAGAATTAAGCAAAAAATAGTCGTCTGGCTAGAAGGCGCAGAGTTCTTCAACAGTGTATTTCAAAGGCAGGATTTTGTCGTGATCTACTAATCGGCGGACGGCCGTACAAGCAAGACTGGAAGAGTTGTTATGTTGGATCATCAATTTAATGATATAGTCAAACTACCAGATACTTCTGAGCGTTACCACAGAAATCCATGCAACATTTACACTTTGCATCTTACAAATTCAAATTTAATTCAATGGCACCTAGTATAACATTTTTAAAACTTAATAGCCGTACTAGCAAGATAGGAAAAGTTGTTATTTTGGGTCTTCAAATATTTTAATTACAAGATAACTACTTCTCAACAACCACAGAAATCCGTGCAACAAATTCACCGACACGTGTACATGGTGAAATAATAAAGAACTTGAGTTCTGATATGAAATGTAACAGACAGAAAATATTAAGTACTATTTTATCTTGAAGTTATTTCGATTAAACAGTCTATAATAATCAAATGTACAGTAAGTAGTATACTTTTGAACTTCATTTAAATGCTATACGATTGGATTGGGTTTCATAAAAATAGAGCCAATATTCGAAATATCATGGAAAAGACACGAAAATCTCCCTGACAAAGGAGCATAGAATTCTGTTATTGGTCAGTGTTTTTGGATCCTTTCAATTTGTGTACCTTCAGTACATCAAAAATACAACACAGAATACGTATATGTATCGAATTTATAAGCAGCATTTATAACTGATATACGAGTCAAAGAATATCAAGTTTTATTACAATGTGTACTCACAAATTTTCGAATTTAAGCTGCTGTTCCATGGCCAAAAGAACTTTTAAATGTTCCAAATAAATATTCTGTTGCTCATCTGTAGGAAGTTCTATAGATTCTATGTTTATCTTAAATTTCTTCCGTATGTTCCAAATTCTTTTTAAGACTTGTTGACATTCATGAGCTTTTGCACTGTAAATGATATAAATGAACGCATTGCAAGAGGTCTTTAAAATAATGCGATGTGATTATTTGGTCTTGTTAGCTCAGATCAATTTTGTGAACTTTATAGGAGACTGGTAAAATAAAAAATAGGCAGTGGTAATATTTCATATTCAAGAAATAGATGTACGCTTATACAATAACAACTGGTATTATTCTATATATTATGAATATCAACTTATCATATATGACTATTTCGCAGCTCAATTAATAGGAAAGTGTCCGAGCATACTGATTCGTTTGCTTATGCTTTATCTTAATGTAGATTTTTAAGGTTTTAAAATAAAGTCTGAAAAAGTTCCAGTTTAAAGGGACAAGTTAGCCTACTGTCTTATAAAAAGAGAGATATAGGAGGGTAGTTCTGCACCTGCTACTCTCAAATCTACGTGGTAATTACCATGTTTTAAACTTTAAATTATAAAACAAAGTGATCACTAAAGAATACAAATAATTGGAATTTTTTTTCTCCATTTTCTTTCATTATGTTTTATTTCATTTACTTATTTCCCTTGTAAAAAGAATTAAACTATAACGCGTGCATTTTTGAACTCAGTCTATTCTTAATCAGAAGTATATTGTACTGTCTATACATGCCCATCAACATCTATTGAAACAGTTACCATATGTAAACAGTTGCTCGCAACTATAAAATACAAACTTTGCTTTTTTCGCGCATTTTATGTGCTGACCCCATCGAGTCACAAGTGCATCTCTTTTCTTTTTGAAATCAATGTATTTCTCGTCTTCACATAACGTTTTTTTATCTTCATCTTCTAAATCTGGAAACTTTGGTTGAATTTCTGGTAGAACAAGTTCCTCTTTAACACATTTAGCAACATGAATAAATGAATCCCTAAATAATTCTAGGATTATTTTGTCTCTCTCAGCCGGTTGGATTTTATCTAGAAAATATGGTCACATCTAAAATCAAGTTTATTTAATATATTAAAAGTTACAAATCTATACATACTCAAAGGAAATTCATACATATATATGTCCTAAAACTCAGGCCCCTGGTTTTCGAAAGTATACTAAATTGTGTTCTATAAGTTCATATATCTTATAACAGACTTGCTATAAAAATAAAGAGATGTGGTATGATTGCATGCCAATGAGACAACTATCCACCAAAGTTCAAATGAAGTGCATGTGCATATTTGCAGCGTAATAAATTCTTCCGTATGCTTTTTGGGTAGCAATCAATAAAAGCAACACATTATTACTGAATTTAAGATTTTATTTTGAATCGTTGCAATAATATAGTTAGGCAGGTTTTACACTTTCACTTTCGAATAAAACTGTGGTGACATTTTTCATACTAGTAAAATGGCCAGAAAAATGTCCGGTATCCACTCATTCGAGTTTTGTGCACTGAATTAGAACTGTTATTATTATAATAATAAAAGAATGTTATTTTTACTCATTATCACAGCCAGCTTTGATTGTTTTTAACCTTTTTATATCATTTTTTTTTCTTTTCTTTTCGTTTCATTTGTTTGTTTGTTTTATACATATATAAGTTGCCTTTGACAAGCCTAAAAGTATAAATTTCATTACAAAATATAGTGTAATGACACCTTAAACGCATGATAAGGTTTAACACAACAAATGATTCATTCAAAATAAACGTAATTGAGATAATTTTATGATTCACATCCTGAGACCATGTATTTTGACGTCCAAACTTTACGCTACGTTTCGGATTTATCCTTACTTTTCAAGACACTTCCATATACACTTCTTTGTACTGAGATAGGTTACTATAAGACCATCTTAGCAAATTTCTTAGTCCTAGATAGAAGATACTTTCGAAAACCAAGGCCCAGATAAATTGAATTGATACGGCTAAACTGGTTAAGAATGAAGTACTTTGTTTTCCATTTACATACAATTTTTCATCATCATATAAAAAATAGTATAGAAGTATGGCCTGAAATTATTAATCATTTGTGTATAGAGCTTTACTTCACTAATTTTACATCTCTAATAAACTGATGCAAAGCATGTCTGGAAGTTTTTAATCAAATCTTATAATACCGTGTCAAATTCTTATTTTGCATACTTATTACTCGAATTTGAGAATCAATTTTAACATGACTGTTTATAAGTTTATAAAAAATATCAGATGAAAGAGGCCTAGAAATCAATAATCTTCGTTTTTGTCTTGACTGTTGCTGTACAGCAATGTAAATTTTCAAACATAAGAAGATAACATGGATAAGAGTTATATTTATCTTATTAATACTGGTTAATGAAATCACAACAGTGTGTATACAGTGGCTGGTCATCGCGTTAAACTGGACCCCTGTTGTGTTCATTTATCGCTACACTGATGATCCATAAATCGTGCAGATAAGGTTATTTGTAAAAGTTATTTTTGCTATTTGAGTGTCGAATTATATTTGAATGTGTTTGGGTGGAATCAAATGATTCAAGAGATATGACGTGTAATAGTGGCCAAAAATTGGTGGCCGAGATTTTGTTATAGGGGCCAAAAATTGGTGGCCGGGATTTTGTTAAGTGTTTAAACGTTGAACAACAGATGGAGTAGCGCAAAAGATGTTATGCTAGAAATAACCTATGTTTTCATATATTAATATCTATTTTTGACTGAATGTTGTAAGAATTTTTAATCTCAGTTAACGGAGAGGACAAAACAAATGTCAATGATATGTGTAACACATTTAAAACAAATCTTACACAATCAGTGGAAAACAACATCCCACACAAGTTCCTTACATACAAAAACAGACTATACCTTGGATTCATAACAACCTCAGGAAAATGATAAATAAAAAAAATAAATTATATCATAAAATGAAACAAAACATCAACATGATCAAGTATGAAGACAAGTACAAACATCTGAAAAAACAAGTACAAAAAGAACAAAGGGTAGCATATTGGGGTTATATTGAAAAAATGATATTTGATCTACCCATAAATGAACCGGACCAACCATGTAACAATCAGTCAAAACCTAAAAAAACTGTTTTCCTTTAAAAAATCACTGCGCACCGATAACACCGGTGTAGCTCCCCTGAAAAAAGAAGGACAGTTAATAGCAGACATAAAGCAAAAGGCAGACATCCTCGACACACAGTTCCAATCAGTGTTTACAACCGAATCAAATAACAGCATTCTAGACAAAGGTCCAAGCTCACACCCCACAATAACACCACTAGAAAAATCACTACCAGGTTTCAAGACACTTCTACACAACATAAACCCACATAAGGCAACTGGCCCAGATAACATCAGTGGCAGAATATTAAAAGAACTCAAAGATCAAACAGCTCCAATTCTTACACTAATCTTTAAAACATCACTTGAAACTGGCATAACACCAACAGAATGGAAACACGCCAATGTAGCACCAGTATTTAAAAATGGTGAAAAATACGTATACAAGCCAGAAAATTACCGCCCAATATCATTGACATGTATTTCCTGTAAACTTATGGAGCATATCATCACCAAACACATCATCAACCACCTTGAAAAGAACAATATACTGTATAACCTCCAGCATTGCTTCCGTCAGTCACGATCATGTGAAACCCAACTTATTTCATTCATCCAAATAACAGCAGCAAATAACAACAACAACGTTAACACACAAACAGACTTAATTATAATGGACTTTGCCAAAGCATTTGATAAAGTCCCTCATAAAATACTTCTCTATAAACTGAACTATTATGATATTCAAAATGAATCACTAAACTGGGTCTCTGTCTTCTTAAATGACAGAACACAAACAGTTGTCTTGGATGGAGAGTCCTCTGACCTGGCTCCAGTCACCTCAGGTGTCCCTCAAGGCACAGTTCTGGGCCCAGTATTATTCTTGGTATACACCAACGACCTACCAGAATACTTACAATCCAGTAAACTCAGACTGTTTGCCGATGACAGTATCATCTACAAATTTAAAACCATCAAATCTCAAAGTGACTGTGATGCACTCCAGTTAGATTTAGTTGCAGCTGCTAGGTGGGAGCAAGACTGGTTGATGGCTTTCCATCCAGACAAATGCACAGTCCTTACAGTATCACAAAAAAAAACAGTTTAAACATGACTATATCCTTCACAATCACAAACTTGAACTAGTCTCTTCAGCTAAATATCTGGGCATTACACTACAAGCAAAATTAAAATGGTAAAAACATACTGACAACATCATAGCTAACATGGCTAATAGAAACAAATCTTTATGCTTCTTAAAAAGAAATTTAAAAACATCATGTCAGAACATCAAAACCCAGGCATATCTGGCACTAGTTCTTCCTAAGCTTGAATATTCATGTTCAGTATGGGACCCTCACACAGTTGAACAAACCTCTAAAATCGAGATGGTCCAAAGACGAGCTGCCAGATATGTCTGTAACAGGTACCATAACATCAGTAGTCCTACAGACATGATAAACTCACTAAACTGGCCCACGCTACAAGAAAGAAGACTACGCACAAGATTGATAATGTTCTACAAAATAATACATCAAATCGTAGCAATCCCATCTGCTATTCTCATACCATCAGACAGTAGAACCCGCAAAAATCATAGTTTCACTTTCAGACACATTTCCACCAAAAAAGATACATATAAATTTTCAGTTTTTCCGTACACCATTACTCAGTGGTATTTACTACCAGTCCACACAGTCGCTGTAACCACAGTCGACACTTTCAGAGAACAGCTTACACCAACTGTTCTCCACAAATTCATTTAACTCATTATTAGCCTATGTACATAGTTTTAATCACAATTTAAAATTTTGTTTACGCACTCCAAATTCATTTTCAATTATTTTTGTGTTCTTGTAAATATATATAGGCCACGCAGCGCAAAACAGTATATAATCTTCAGATAATGAAGGACTATACTGAAAACCTAAAGAAGGAGAAGAAGAAGAACGGAGCATTAATGAGTAATTCTGTGAGTGCGTGAGAATATATTACTTATTTTTATTTGAAATTAATTAAGAGTCACGGGTCTCTGCTATTGTCATCACTTTCAAACATGTATGTTTATTTAAAGCTACAATTTATGCATCGCAAGTGTTCACTTGAGCAAATTTGACAGTTGTAATCTGTCGTGCTCTTGGAAGTATCCGTTAGATAAACAAGTGAAAGTTTAATGGTCAAGATTTCACGTCCTGTACCAAGTCAGGAAAATGGCCATTGTTATATTATAGTTCGTTTCTGTGTGTGTTACATTTTAATGTTGTGTTTCTGTTGTGTCGTAGTTCTCCTCTTATATTTGATGTGTTTCCCTCAGTTTTAGTTTGTAACCCGGATTTGTTTTTTTTCTCAATCGATTTATGAATTTCGAACATCGGTATACTACTGTTGCCTTTATTTACGACCTATGGTATCGAACATCTGTGTACAGATATTCACACACAGATATTAATGGTTGTGTGGTTTCTACATAATGAGTTATAATGAGCTTTGGTGGTAAGTTTTGTTGATTTGTAACAATAAAATGTATGCACACTTGTCATTTTGACAAATCAGATAAACAGAATTTCCGTTTCAAGAATTGAAAATAAAACTGCAAGTTAATTACACTGGTCATAAGTTTAAATGTTAAAATGATCATTGATTCTAATTAAAAAAAATGTTTTATTGTTTTCTGTTTTCATATACATTTTGACGTAATACTTTTTTACTGCATATTTTAGCGAAGAAAAAGAAACCTTTTATTCTAATTCTTTTATATTTTTTTATTTTTTTTATTTTTGATTACCAAATTTCGCAGTTACTAAATTTAAATGAGAACATTTGTTTTTTTTTAATGTGTGTATATTAAAGTACAATTTATTTGCATATAGATTGTTTCAGATTTTTTTTTATAATTTCATAAACCAGTATTAAAAAGATAAATATAACATAAGTAACTGGTTCTATTGAATAAGTATGTTTTCGAACTGAATGAACATTTTTAAATACTTGCCACTGATCGTTAGATATATAATCGTGGCTAATTAGTAATCAATCAACCTATATAGGTGCCAGCCAAAGTAGGACGTGACACTACAATATTATGTATGCGAAACAAAAACAATAAAACTTTATTATGGAAAGGGTCATCACGGATATATATCCGAGAGGAGAATTCAAGTAACTTGCCTCGTAACTTATAAGGTTTTTTTTAATACGTATAAGGTGTAAGCACATATAAAAAAAGATGATGTGGTATGATTGCCAATGAGACAACTCTCCACAAGAGACCAAATGACACAGAAATTAACAACTATTGGTCGCCGTACGGCCTTCAACAATGAGTGACAAAGGCCCATACCGCACAGTCAGCTATAACAGGCCCCGAAATGACAATGTAAAACAATTCAAAAGAGAAAACTAACGGCCTAATTTATGTACAAAAAATGAACGAAAAACAAATATGTAACACATAAACAAACGACAACCACTGAATTACAGGCTCCTGACTAGGGACAGGCACATAGGCCTATACATACATCATAGATATGTCCTTCATAGATTGAAGGACATATCTATGAGATATGTCCTTCAATCACTTGATATACAAAATTTGAATACAAAGCTCAATAGATTAATTAAATTTGTAAAATGTAAACTTTGTAACAGTTTTAAAACATTTTGGGGGGTCAAAAGATCTGATACCTTATCACAAGGTAATAGTAAATTAGAAAATTATTTCAACCTCAAGACTGACTTCGTAAAGGAGGCTTATTTATCAATTAAAGATTTTAATATAAGAAGAGCTATATGTAAATTGAGAATAAGTGCACATGATCTTAAAATTGAGAAAGATAGGTATAGTAAAAAATACATAGAGAGAAGTCAGCGTCTATGTCATCACTGCCTATCACATGGATCAAATTCTATTGAAGATGAGACCCATTTCACAGTAAGTTGTCCTTTATATAACGAACAGAGAAAATTATTATGGGATAAAGTAAACAGTTTTTGTAATAATTTTAAAGAATTACCCAAGGATAAAAAATATTTCTGGCTGTTCACAAATGAGCATTTACCAACTCTTATGTGCCTAGGCAATTATATAATTAAGTGTTTAGAAATAAGATCCAGGTGGATACAAAATATATAAAATTATTATGCAATTATTGTTAATGTTATGTAAGACACATGATGTGTTAGGCTCTGATCCTGATCCTGTCCAATATATGATAGTATTATATTAGGATATAGTTTTTCTTTTTTCCAATCATATTGTGCTTAATATTGTTGTAAATGATGCCCTTTATGGGTTCTTGATTAGATTAATAAAATTCTTATCTTATCTTATCTTATCATACAGAATGCACATGTAATTCATGAGTAAATTTCGAATAGATCCGTGTATGGCATAATTAACTTACCATCCATTTCGACAAATATTGATACCAATGATTTTTACTTCCTTGTTCAGTTGTCAATGCCAAATCAGGCGATATGTACACCTTAAAATAGATAATATATATTGGCTTTTTTAAACACCTGTATAAACATGTAAATTTCGCCTAATCTTATTTTCGATGTATAAAACTACTCGTCTTCTTCTCAATATTGTACACGAAAACGCAAATTCTAGACGTATGATATAGTGGTATAAGATATCTTTTTGTAGGACGATATATATCCCTGATTTCAGTTACTTTTAATTAAAACATTTCTCACGCCTCTAAAACTATCTTAAAATAACTCATTTTCGTATCAGTGCATATTCATATTTGCAGCACCGACTTGCTGCCAAGCCATTCGGTTCATCAGAATTTCAAAAAGGGGACAAAAACATTAGGTTGGGGGTAAATTAAATAATAATAATAATAAACCCGTTGTTAACAGTCCGGATTTCAAACTTATCATTTTATTTACGGAATTGACCTCATTTTACAATCATAGAAAAACTTCCGGTTACAAAATTTGCATTTTTTTCTTCAACCAAACATTAGTACAATTTTAGGTCAATCATATTTTAGCATGGATGCAGAAGCGTGGGGACAACTTGTCAGCTTGACAGATATTGACACTGAACCAATAATGCTAATGTCAGACTCATTTACCATCGGAAGGGCAAAAGGTGTGAACATTAAACAAGAAATTATATTATATACATATAAATAAAAAGACGTGGTATGAGTGCCAATGAGACAGCTCTCCATCCAAGAGGGTCGTAATGGGGGTACCTTCATGACGAATAACTTTTAAAAATTTTGCCAAATCAGGTTAACGGTAGTTTTTGGTGCATGACGATAAAATGTACACTTTCTTTAAGACGATAAGATAAAAAAATCGACTAATTTTGCCAAATCACATTAATTTTTTCCAAAAATTACAGTAACGATAATTTTTTGAGACGTCTGAAGAATCACAGTAAGATTTAAACCAATTTTGCTGAAAATGACCGTTTGACGCCTGACGGTAGAGGGCATTCTTACCCTCATCCAAGTCACAATGTTTAAAAAGTTAACAATTATATGGGGACAAAGTCCCCAATTACAGTAGAAAAATAAAAAAAAAATTTAAAAATCAATCTACTAATGAACTCAAAATCGTTAACTTTTAATTTTCTAAATTTTTTATTTTCCCGTATTAGTGCAGAAATCTCTCCTCCTTCAGGTCTCGATTGTAACGAGACTTTGAGTAAAATATATATTAATCAGTCTAGTATAATATACATGATATAGGAAGGAGCACAATAGCAATTTCAGTTTAATTATTCTTTCACATGTTTAATGAAAAAAAAAAACGTTACCAGCTGATGATCATGATGATAGTGTTTCTTTGTTTACATTAAAAATGACGTCACAACTAAAATCCCAAATAACATGACCAACATCGAAAACCTTTTCGTATTTTTGTTTCTTTTTCAACAGATTCTGAAGTTAAAATATCAAATATGCTTGAATTAAAAAAAATAATGTATACAGACTTCGTCCCCTTTCACAGGTAACAACTGCCTCATATTAGGTCAAAGTACAGACTTCAACACGGAGCATAGGCTCACACTGAACAGCAAGCTATAAAGGGGCCCAAAATTACTAGTGTAAAACAATTCAAACATGTCAAACAGGAAAACGAAAGGTCTAATTTATATAAAAAACCAGAAACGAAAAACACCTATGAACCACACCAAGTCACCAACAAACGACAACCACTGATCAACAGGCTTCTGAAATGTATAGTCTATAGACATTATGAATCCAGTTCTGTTTGCCCTGATTCACGTTCATCCTATTGTTCGCCCTGGGGCCGTTTGCCCTATGCTTGTTCGCTCTGATTTTTTTTTCTTTTTCATTTTTGTTTTGTTTTAAGTGTTGTATATAATATAATCATGATAATGTTTATATATTTGAAGAGCATGTTAAAGTTTGTTGAAAATTTCACTGAATTTATATGTTGTATTGATGCTACCAAATAATTACTTTCCTTCCATTTGCACCGTATGATACCAGGAATACAAGGTATTCAATATAAAACAACTGAATGTTATAATATCTGCATGTATTTATCTTTATTGATATATTTTAACAATTCTTAACAATCATTAACAGTTATAATAAGATCCAATTCGAACTTGGCATCACAGACAATTTATGAGGGTATGGAAGGGGGTGGTGGTCCTTGATTTCTGTATTCTTTAATTTTTTCGCTAATTATTTTTTCCCTTAAAAATAATGGACATTGTTTTTTTTCTGTAATCAGTATGTTTTTACCAATTTCTTTATATATAAATTGTTGCAGTTATTTTTTTATATTTTAGCAATCCACTATTCTCTATTCTTTATATTTTTTGCTCATTTTTCTCTATTCTTAATTTTTTTGCTCATTATTCTCTATTTTGTAAACCCCATCCACACTTATAGTTACAAAATGTATGTCCTTACACTATTATTTTAAAGAGCACAGATATAGGAAATGTGTCAAAACAAACTTGAGATCAAAGAAGCCAAGCTGCATGAGAAAAAAAATCCCTTTCATGTTTTACAATTCGTACATTGCTGTTTTTACTCATTCCAAGCTAGTCCATGTAGTCTATCAAAGACAAAAATCAGTGAGATCAAAGGCATCATAATTATACTCAATCAGCTTACAAAATTACAATCAAACAGTCATTTTAAAATAATAATCATTCTAAATAAAACAAATGCAAGAATGAAGACCTTCTATTTTCTGGTTAGGACCTTCATGTTGGTAGTTAGCTACACCCATTAGCTATATAGACATTCATATTTTGCAGGTTAAAGAAAATCCAAAAGCATTTAGAATAAATCCATAAACATGATAAATCTAGTATAAATATAATCTTAAAATATGTAACTTTATATAACTGAAAGGAAACTTATGTGTTTGCTTAAGTTCTTCACAACTGATTTGATGTGTAGTTGTGTGGCCGGTCGTTGTACAAGACATCAGGAAATTCATCAAGAATATATTATTCAAACATAACTAGTAAATGGTATAAGTCTTTTTTGCATACTAGATAATTATTAAAAACATTGACATATCAATTATTTCATCATTTATAATTTCAAGATATTTTTTATCATTTGTTTATTGAAAATGTATGGTTTATACAGGAAAATGAAGTAACAGGTGTCTTTACTACCTATCACCTGGCATGCTAGGTGTGAAAATTTAATAACTAAACCAACAGCCTCCAATAAATGTTGACAATACATTAGTCTACACGCTCAACCACAGGCCCACCATCCCAGGCTTGTAAACCTGCTGTCAGGCCTGTAAATATCATCTCTTCAGACCACTAGAATCAAACTAACATTTTTCATAAGTTTAGCTTCGCTCATTAGATTCAAAAGTTTATCGTGAAGACTGAAACATGGGTTGAAAGTAATAAAAATGATAAAAGTGATTTTTGAAGACTCCTTTTTAAAAACAATGAAATATTTGCTGTCTTAAAGTTATTCAACTGTGAGACATAAAAAATGGCAGAGACAAACAGTATTTATCTTTTACTTTAATATTTTGTACTAATAAATCATTGTAAATCACTGTTTATTAAGAATTTACAATAAAAATAGGAAATAAGAACATTTAAAATGACTATAACTCTTTCATTATTTCATTAAAATCAGTAATTGACCAGGTAGAGAGCGGTTTTTATAGTCATTGATAGTAATGTCCACTCAAAATTTCAATCAACAAGTATTTCCCTGTATTTACTGGCATTTCCCGCATGCATGGTCAATACTAGTATTTACCACTTTTTAGCTCACCTGGCCCAAAAGGCCAAGTAAGCTTTTCTCATCACATGGAGTCTGTTGTCTGTCGTCCTTAACTTTTACAAAAATCTTCTCCTATGAAACTACATTCATTATTCATGTTATTGGGGTACCTAGTTTGAAAAATGTGTCCCGCCTGCCAACCAAGATGGAGGACATGGCTAAAAATAGAACATAGGGGTAATATGCAAGTTTTGTGTATTATTTTGAAAACCGTTATAAATGAAGAAAATCTAACAGGAACTAAAATGTTCAGAATGTTGAGCTCTACCAATTGATCACATACGTCAAAACTGTCAGACAACTTCTAGGAGTTATTTCCCTTAAATTACAAATTTTACCATTTTTTTCATTTTTATACGACTGCAAAAAATTTGCGTTCATATATTGCTATCACATCGTCGTCGTCCGATGACATTTGGTTTCTGGACAATAACTTTAGTATAAATGAATGGATCTCTATGAAATTTAATCACAAGGTTCAATAGCACAAAGGGAAGGTTGGGATTGATTTTGGGGGGTTTGGTCCCAATTGTTTAGGAAACAGGGTAAAAAAAGGGCCAAAAAAGGCATTTTTTTTCTAGTTTCCAGACAATAACTTGTGTATAAGTGTATGGATCTCTATGAAATTGTACCACAAGGTTCCATACCACAAAGGGGAGGTTGGGATTGACTTTGGGGGTTATGGCCCAAACCGATCAGGAATTAGGGGCAAAAAAGGGGGGGGAAGGTTTTTCTGGTTAATGGACAATTACTTAAGTATTAGTCTATGGATCTCTATGAAATTGAAACACAAGGTTCCAAACCTCAAAGGGAAGGTTGGGTTTGACTTTGGGGGTTATAGCTCAAACCGTTTAGGAATAAGGGGCAAAAGGGGGGAGGAACAAGGTTTGTCTGGTTTCCGGACCAATACTTAAGTATTGATCAATCAATGGATCTCTATGAAATTGTACCACAAGGTTCCATACCACACACAGAAGGTTTGGGTCAATTTGTGGGTTTTGGCTTTAATCATTACGAAACTAGAGGTCAAATAGGGGCCAAAAACAAGACTTTTCTAATACTGGCTAAGCTGGTTCTAACATAAATTATTTCTGATCTGTATAAAGAAACAACAAATACTGATATGGCAGGAGATACACACCAAACAGGGTGTGTAAATTATTATATTTAGTTTGTACAGATTTACTAAGTATTGCGCAACAGCAAAGTATTGCACAACAGCAAGAAATCTTCAATTGAACATGTTGAAAATAAATACAAATCTTTTAACCAATTTCAATGAGGATTAATTTAAAATCTTGAATTGTTTGAGGTTTTTACCATGTATTACTATATTGGATATTTGGACATTTTTAAATAGGTCTACATTGAGGTTTAAAGGGTCCAAAATTAGACCTTGTTTGATATCATCAAAAACTGAATTCTTGTGGTTCTATACACTGAACCTAACTGTGCATTCAGATTTTTAATTTTGGGCCCTGTTTTCAAATTAGCCCATATTAAGGTCCAAAGGGTCCAAAATTGAACTTTGTTTGAATTTATGTTTTTTTTTTTTTTATATGCTGAATCTAACCATGGAATTAGATTTTGGATATTGGATCATTAAGTAGATTAAATGTCCCATTTCAAATTTTTAAGTTATCTGACTACATTTATTCTGTGTCAGAAATCTATAATGTGCCAAATATTTCATCACTATCCAAATTCAGAGCTGTATCAAGATTGAATATTGTGTCAATACTTGCCCCAACTGTTCAGAGTTCGACCTCTATGGTCGTATCCAGCTGCTCCAGGCGGAGCGCATTTTTGCCCATTATCTTGAAAACTATAATAA